TCTTGGTCTAAATTTGAAAGTTGAATAAGTGCCTGTTTGGCATTGCTTATTTGGGGTGATAAGTGATTTTTTTAAAATTTTGAGAAGTCTTGCCCGTTTGGTAAACTATGAGAAAATCACTTATTGTTAAAAATTGTTGTGAGAGAAAGCTATAAGGGAAAGCAGCTAATGAGGTACTTTCATTTTTTGATTATGCAGGAATCAGTTTCGAAGAGGAGCTGGGTTTAATGATTATACGGGAATCATTTTTTGATTATGTGAGAATTAGTACCAACAACACTTTTAACATAAAGTTTACCAAACGTCAAACTGCTTTCTCTCACAACTGATTTCTCTCACAGCAAATCTGACAGCGATTATTTTCACAGCACAGCAATGCCAAACTGGCCCTAAGTCAATCTCCTTCTCAAATAAGGATTACTTAGTTCTCAAGACAAAAAGAAAAGGACACAAATCATATTTAAAGAGGGATTCATACTTGCTAATCTTGGAGGTTTTGAGAGCCTATAAATACCTCTCTTTTTTGTGCTATAAGACACATTGACAAGCCTACACAATATTCATCGAAATACTTAGAGTGAAATTGTGAAGGAGTGGCCGGTCTCTATTCCGACTTCAGTCAAAGGATGTAATATTATTTTCCTATGCTTATTTGTTGTGATCCGATGACTATATCTAGCTAGGCCTCTTGGCCAAGGCTAGGAGGATGCCTTAGTTTAATTATTTGTTTTATTAAATGTTGAGTTTTTTATTTAATGAGTTGTGTTGATAGATTTATAATCTCTACTTAAATTTATTCAAAGTGTTGAATTCTTTTGATTGGCCATCTTTAGGGCTTGCATCTAGGTGATAAGATGGATACATGTAGACCTAATAAGTTGCATGTTTCAAAGCTTCTTGGGATTATAAATTGTGAAGAACTTGATGCTCTAATAAAGATTAAGACTTCATACAATTCCTTGTTTCTATAAAACTTAATGAATTTCATGTGTTTAACCTATGCCATAATACGCATAGTAATCAGATCTTAGGGAAACTTGGCTTAAGAGCATCCATAATCATGCTCTCTGTTTTTTAGTTAAATTTTAGCTAAAAACATATAAAAGTTATTTTAGGAGCTCTCTATAAAATTTAAACTCCAATGATGCTCTCTAGTTTAGGGAGTCATAAATGCTATAACTCTTTTTTAATTGGTCCATCTCTATTAAAAAATAATATAAAAAATAATAAACATTAATTAAAGGTTTGAAATACTCATTAAATAAAGCAGCATTAAATTATAGGAAGCCACTAGGAGTCCTTTCTCTCTCCTCAGATTTAGGAGCTCCTAGAGGTCTCCCTATTTTAGGAGGTGGATAGGGATCATGGTTGGAGTTGTATTTTCCCAATTCCTCCCTAAAATTTGTCTAAGGAGGTGGTTTAGGGAGCCCATTGTGGATGCTCTAACTGCGCTAAAACAGACTTAGGTACGGAATCTTTATCAATTAACTCATTGAATTAATTACTTGCCTCGATAATATGATTAAGAAGACTAATGGTTGAATATGAAGCCTTGGTATTTTATCATATTGTTAACAAACTTTTTCAAAATCTTTCTTTTATATTTTATTGAAAAATTTCTTTAATTTTCCTTGTTTACTTTTATTTGCTTTAATCAAATCAACTTTTGCCAAGTCACTTTTCAAAACTTCCCTTGCCATGTACCATCTCTCTATCTTCCACCTTTGTTTCCGTTTCTCTTATATTTGATTTTGGAATTTTTCTCAATCCTTATGGGAACGACCTTATACTTGCATATCTATACTAACAATTGATCTTTTATTTCCTTGTGCTTGCACATTGTGGTTGGTTTTCATGACATTACGTTTTGGTTGCGGTGGAATTGCGATTTTACGGTATCTCAGTAAAAAATGCCAGCCCTAGATGGGTTCCACCAACCACCATCCAATTCCTAAGTTAGTCTTTATGCCTTAAAGGAGATGGCTAAAAGTATTGTACTCAAGTATAGAGAAAGTTCAGATTACCTTTTTAGGTTAAAAGTACTCCCCTTTTATGCAAGGAAAGTTTGAGCTTACTCTTTTCCTGTTTCGATGTGGGAAGGAGCTCTTGATGATGTGGCATCTTTTGAGTGGGTGGTCAGTGGTAGCCAGACTTGTGTCCCTCCATTTTGGGGAAATCGTGCCTTAGTTAAATATTTTGTGGGCCTTTATTAAACTTTTAAATAGCCTACACGTAGGCCTTTGAGATGAGGCGTATGAAGGTTGGGGGCACCATGCCCAGTTGTATAGACATTTGTTGGGCATGATTGGCCTTCCTTAGGTGGAAGTAAGGTGTCTTTGGCTGACTTTTAGCCATCTGGGCCCAATTACCTCCTCAGGTAATTTTGGGCTTTATTTATTAGGCTCTTTTTGGTGGGTCCTAAGAATATTTGGTATCAACAAACTTAAATGCCACCTTCGCACCATGACCAACAAAAACACCTTCAACTACATAACCTTCCAAACTACCTTTTGTTGAAGCAAAGAAAATTAAAAGAACAATATTACCTGGAAAAATTCGATGTGAAGTTGTGAACGATTCTTGGGATGAGTCGCGTACTAACTCACTCTCTTTAAGACATTCTGCGGCTCTGCCAAATTTGTGCAAGTAGTTTAGAAAAGGCCACTACGTCCCCAGGATAAAACAACCCCAGAATCTCCTATGTCTAGGTTCTTCCTTGCACAAGGAATGACCCGAATACAAACACCTTTCTATGTTGCTCAGAAAACTTAGTTTAGGAAATAAGAGAAAGATATAAAGAGGAAGAAGGTAGCAGCTATCGTCTGTGTCTTTTTCTCTCCTAGCTATATCAGATATATATACATAATATACCACAAAAGAGACGTTGGTGGGCTTTAAAGACAGCAGATACATCAGTTGAGAAAATCAGCCCATATTAATAGAAAATAACTCCTATTAATAAAGTTAATTTAAGGCAATTGTTGAATTATTGAATTATATATATATATATATATATACATATTTTAAAAAAATAAATAAATAAACATATCAATTTCAAAACCTTCAGTGTGGTACACTCAACCAAAGGTCACCATGCCAACATGTGTATGTTGTCTTTCTTCTTTTATGGCTTTGCAAATTTATGTTTATAATTGTTCTAGAGTCTACCACTTTTGTTGATACCTTCACGTCATGCACAAAACTAGCTCTTAGAGCAAGTCCAGCAGTGGGGTTTGGACTGAGGCAAGGGGGGGTTTGGAAGAAAAAGGGCCTCTAGCAGTGGGGTTTGGGCCGAGTTGGTGGTGGGGTCTACAAAGTCGGGCTGGCCCGAGGGCAGGTCCAGCCCCAGGTCCAAAACTCGGGGGAGCTGACGTCATCGATGACGTCAGCAACAAAAAAAATTAAAAAAAATTGAAAAAAAACAAAAAAATTTAGATTTTAAAAAAATAAATACTTAGTCATATTTTTCACTTCCCACACCAAAAATCTTTTAAAAACATATTGTCCAAATTAATTGTTTAGGTAAACAAATATGTGAAAAAAACAAAAAAATGAATAGTATTTGCCCTAAACTA